ATAATAATAATGTTGTTATGTTAATTTTCATTGTTTTATTGGAACTGAGTATTTATTGAAATACAATGACTAAATGAACTTTAAAACAAAATGAAAATCAATAAGATACAATGAAGTGTTGAGGTATAAAAGAAAGTGTAATAAAAGAAGAAAGAAGAGTGATGACAAATGAAAACAATATAAATAACATAAAAATGAAATAGTAAATACAATTGTAATTATACTATACTAAAAAACTAAAAGAATGAAGGATAAGAAAAATAAAAAACGTCAATAAGAAGTATAAAAAGAAGAAGAACTGAAAGAACAACAGAACGATGCAAATATTTGTTAAGACTCTCACTGGAAAGACCATCACATTGGAAGTAGAACCAAATGATTCTATTGATGCTATTAAGGCTAAGATTCAAGAAAAAGAAGGAATTCCACCAGATCAACAAAGACTTATTTTTGCAGGAAAACAATTAGAAGAAGGAAAGACCCTTTCAGATTATAACATCCAAAAAGAATCAACACTTCATTTAGTCTTAAGATTAAGAGGAGGGTATTAAAATAATTGAAATATTCATTATAAATAACAGTTTAAAGATAAATAAAAGAAATAAACGTAATTAACATTTTACCAAATTAATACCATTTTAACAAACAAAAATACTTTAACTAACTTTTGTTATTGAGTATGAGTTAACAACTTTATAAAAGCAAGTAATATCTAACGAATTTAAATGGATAAGAACTGATAAACTAAATTTTTTATTTTATTTTTTTATTTATAACCGTTCAAAAACTCAAATGAAAATTATTTTGATATATTATACAATATACCTTGTCTGATTATGTTTTAATTTATTTTTGCTTGTTTATAGATTGAGACTTAATAATTATTATAAATTAAAATGAAGGTTTCTTCACTATCATGGAAAAAAAGAAGTTTATTATGTTTAAAAATTGTTAAGTTAATATTGATATTATGTGTATTTATTATTTTTATGGATGTTATCTATTTATACTCATTAGAATAAATCATCATTTATTTATATTATTTATTATTATTTCTATTTTATTATATGAATTTAGATTATTACAATTTGAAATGATTCACCTTTAATTATTTTAATAAATAGTGAAATCTCATGTGAACTCCTATATTTTCAATTTGGTATCTTGTTATTACATTATTCCTTTTTTAATAATTGTAAAATTTATCATTATATATTTGTTAGAATGATGAAATATTCATTTCTTCTCAATTTTGTTGAATATTTAAATATAAATAATGAATGAAGAATAAATGTAATTATAATAATTTATTATTATCTTCTTTATCATTTATTTATAATATTAAAAAGTGAAAATGATAATAAATAATCTGATATATCAATATATAATAAAATTTATCAGTTATCTTTGATGAATTAAATGTATTTTTATTAATTAAACCTTTTACAACATCATAACATCATTTCTATTTATTTAATTGTAGTATTACAAATATTGTTTATATAATTACAATTGTTGTTTAATTTTAAATCATTTGTATGTTTATTTCAAATATTTCAATTTTCATTTATTATGATGACTCAAATAATACAATACTCTCTTCTTACATACTTTACACATTAAAATAATTTATTACTAATATTTTGAATATTATAATCATTCTTTTTGAAATAACATTCAACACTTTTTCATAAACAAATCTATAAATAAATATGAATGAGAAAACTTAATACATCAATCAAATCAGATGAAATAATTAATTCATTCAGAGTGTTATGATAAAAAAGAAGTAACTTATTTATTAAGTCTATTAATTGATGATATAGATTATGATATTTTATTCAACGTTTTAATAATTAAATGAAAATGATAAAAACATCAAAAATAACAATAAAATCAACAAAAACAAATATTTCCAATAAAAATAAAGAATGATTTATTCAAACTGAATATAAATAATATCTAATTTAACTCATAAATATCCACAATATCAATACATTTAACTGTATTAATCAAGAATTATTCCAAAATTTTTTGCTTACTCAATTATTAAAAAACTAAATATTGATATAATGATTCTTATTCAAAAGAAATGTTAAATAAAAAGGAAAATTAATTATACATACAATTAGAATTTTGATTA